TGTGAAAAAATTGTGCTTGATGCCTTAATGTAAAGATGTTTCCTTTGAAGCAGAGTTATGTTACTATCACAAATCCGTTTACCTGAGATTTTGACTAAACAATGTGTTTATTGCTGTTAAATGTGAAAAGAAAGTTACATTGTAGCTTACGTTCAGGAATTTATTTTGTTTCAGTCCTTTTGAATCTCATCATTAAACTGGTAGAGGCAATATTTTTTGTTGGCTGATGTTTATTTATGGCTATATTTTGCATGTCAGGCGGTCTCGGGTATTGCGCTTCCTTCAGGATCTGATAAACTTTATTCAGGCAGCACTGATGGAACAGTACGTGTTTGGGATTGCTGTACTGGTCAATCTGTCAGGGTGATGAATCTCGGTGATGTTATTGGATCTTTGATCAGTGTGGGCTCATGGGTTTTTTTTGGCATGCCAAATGTTGTTAAGGTTAGCTTACACCTTAATTTGAGTACTTCATGCTAGTTGGTTATGGTTCTGAGCTGAAGGGGCCTTTGTATATGTTCTTGCAGGCATGGAACATTCAGACAGAAGCTGACTTTAGTCTTTATGAGCCGGTTGGGCAGGTTTATGCAATGACAGCTGCTTGCAATATGCTCTTTGCTGGGGCACAGGTAATTAGCGTGATCACCATCCAGGATTTTGCTAAAGTGATCTATGTTTTGTCACTCTCAGCACGCTGTTTCTCAAATCAACGTTTGATTGTCAGGGCATTGATTCATTTAAGCTGATTCTAGAGCACCAGCTATCTGTTTGGTTGTTCTTGTTTTATGTTCTTCAATGTAAGGGAATGACACTATTATAGTCTGAGTTGTTTGGTCCATGCTTTCATAACCAGTTACACACATGGGCTGTTAGTTTTTTTCTTTTTTTCCTGTACAGCTTCCAGTGTAGAATCTTGTATGTAAAATAAATTCTATTTAATTTCTTGTTTTTCAGAACGGTGTTATTTTGGCTTGGAAAGGTAGTACAGAGAGCAAAAATCCTTTTCAATTGGCTACATCTTTGGAGGGCCATACAGGTGCCGTGACCTGTTTGGCTGTTGGAGCCAAGTGGCTATACTCTGGTTCCGCGGACAGTACGATAAGGGTAGGCATCATTATGGTTTTTCTATCCTTTTATTTTACACCCAGTACTGATTTAGTGCCGAAGATAGCTTTTATTGCTATTCATTGACTATCCTTTACACACAAAAATGGTAATTGGATCATTTGAAAATTAAAATGATGGGGTGAATTATTCTGCTTTCTTGCAAGCAATCTCACCGTAAGTGGGTTAATGTTTGAGGGTCCATTATTTAGAGTAATCTTGATGCTAATAATTCTTTGGTTCCTAAGAAATTACACACATTTTAATTTATGTTCATTTTTTCTCTTAATGTGCATGAAGATTATATGTTTGTTTGTTTGATTTTTTTAGGTGTGGGACCTTGATGCTTTACAGTGTATTTATACACTGAATGGGCATGCTGATGCTGTGATGTCCCTTATTTGCTGGAATCAGCATCTCTTGTCATGTTCATTAGATCAAACAGTAAAAGTCTGGTTTGCTTCTGATGAGAGCCATTTCGAAGTGATCTATACACATGACGAGTATCATGTAAGTTAATCTTTCCAACAATTCTTTTAGTCTGTTGTCACTCTCTTGGCTTTTCTATTTACAAAAAAAGTAAATTCTCTGGTGGCTGCCTCCCAAAATTCAAGTGGAAGCACCTGTGAAATATTTGAACATGTTTCTAATGTCACTGTTTTCATGCATGCTTGTGTGAGATGGTCTGCCTTGTTCGTGTAACATCTTATTTTGAATACGTGTATTGAACTAAGTTGATTGAATAGATAATCTCTACGGTCCTTTCAACAAATCAATTTTTGAACTAAGTTGATTGAATAGATAATCTCAACGGTCCTTTCAACAAATCAATTTTAACTCATACGGACATGCAAATCAATTCAAACTAAGTGAACTTTATTTGAGGTGTGATTGGATTGTGACTCAATGCCGGCATCCCCCTAAATAACCTACCCTGCAAAACATGATCCAAAGACACTATGATTAATCTGGCTCTGAAGGTAAGGTTAATGCGGCTTAAACAAACACATTTGTATGATGGATAACCCATGTTTATTTGCTATGCTAGCACTTGACAAGTCAACATCTTTCTTGGTGGTACCTGTTTCTAATTGTTTTTTTCATGTTAATAATTTTACTGAACTAGCATGGATTTTTTATGGCCTTATTACAGGGTGCCCTTGTCCTCTGCGGGGTAAATGATTCAGCAACCAAACCAGTTCTGTTATGCTCTTGCAATGACAAGTCTGTCCGCCTATATGAGCTACCATCGTAAGTGTGCTTCATTTGCCGCTTCCAGTCGATGAATATTCTATATCTTTGGCACCCCATGTGATTTGTATATCTGTATCTGTCCTTTCTTGATTCTAGGTTTAGTGAGAGGGGCAGGATCTTTTCAAAACAAGTAGTCAGAACAATTCAAGCAGGTCCGGATGACCTATTTTTCACCGGGGATGGAACTGGTTTGCTGAACGTGTGGAAATGGTCTGAACACACAGTGGCTTCATAAGGAGCGTATATTTTTTCTATAGCTGCCTGACCTGTAAAATTTGGTTGCCCCAAATTCTGTTTTTGTATAGAGTTTGAACGGATTGATCGATAGAAAAGCTTCTCTGTAGCTTTTCCAAAGCTACATAAGAATCCATCTCTGTATTCATATTGTGGGTTCTGGAAGTAATTTTAGAACTCGAACAAAGTGTGGTTAATTATCTTGATGATCTCTCTAGCAATGGAAATTCTCTTATTGCCACCTTTCTTTCTCTCTTTCTATATTATTGAACGTGAAACCTGGTTATCATATCTTTTAATCGTATTAAAACATTTTTCCTTGCAGTTCAATTGTTTAACATTGTGTTTCTAATTAGCCGAAGGCTGTGGATTCGAGTTTTGGGGGATCGATATTTTCTTTTTATGCGAGAGATAGCTTGTCGGTTCACGCGGTTCCTGAGCCTTTTTCTTTCCCTTGATTTCTTTCTATTTCATTTTTTATATCAAATTTTTATTGAATTTTATTAATCAATATTAAATTTTTTAGTATTAAGTTTATTGTAAATCAATTTTTATATTTTTTATTGTATGATAAAATTAAAAAAATAATTTAATCTAGTAGAGTTTATAATCTAGTTGTGGAATGTATAGGATGAATCTAGTTTTTTATTCTTTTTTTTTTTAATTTATTATATTATATTGGGATAATTTTTATATAATTTAATTTAAAACTTAAATTAAACAAAAAATTTGATTATAATTTTTTTAATTTGAATTGTTATATCAAGTTTAGCAACAATACAGAAAGTTTTATATAATGTGAATATAACATTTTTATATTTCAAATTATTGTCTAAGCCGGAATGATAACATAAGAAATAATCTAATACTATACTAAAAACATTAAAAGACTCGAGGTAAAATCAACTGCTTACTATAAACCAGGTTATGTCCAAATAATTCATACAATTTAATCTCAAATTTGGGCTAAGCAAAACATCATGTCTAGACTTTTTAAGTTGAAACCGTTATACTAAATTTAATGACAGTCAAATTTTTTTTCTATGATCCAGGTATTGATTGCATGGGAAATAACTAACACTATACTAAAATCATTAAAGAAAAAATTGAGGTGAAATCAACAGCTTGCACTGTTTATATAAATAATAAAATAAGTTTTCTTTGTTTTTTAGCTTTTTATTTTTTTTATCACTTTATATATAGTTGATTTTGAATTAAAATATATAATTTATTTTAGTTTTTTTTTAAATTATCACAATTTCAAATAAAAATATTAATATTTAATTAATACTTGATTTTATAATTTTATAATTTTATTATTATATAATTAAGTATAAAATAATAAAAATAAAGTTATTAAACATAATTAAATCCATGATCCGGCTAGATTTATTTCTTACATTCAACTTTATATATATATAACCCACGGGTGGATTTGATTATAATTCGTGCTCTTCGTCCGAAGTTATTCTCCATTTTTTAACAGTTTGATTGGGAAAGAAGTGAATGGAGGGCATGGAAGGGAGAGAAATGGAGATTAATGATATCTTTATCTTGTTTGGGAAGTAAATTTCGAATGAAGGGAAAAGAGGAGTGCAGGTTGGTTTTTAACTTCAAATTCTCATCCTCATATCGAGGGAAAATTGCTTTATAGTTTTTTTTTTATATATATACTTTATCTTTTTAATTCTTTTCAACTTTATTTATCACTTAATCCCTTGGCTTTCTAACTACAAGTGTAAAAAATTATTTAACTTCCACTGATTTTCTTTTATCCAAATAAAGAATGTATTCCTCCTCCATTAATCTCCTTATTTATCCAAACAAGAAAGAGGGAAAAAACATTTTCGAAGGCTGATGGGATATGCTAGCTTAGGCCAAACTGATACGATATTTCAAGTGGAGTTTTAAGCTGAAAAGTTCCTGTCTTGCATGGAGCGGTTTGCAAATTCACAAGTCACAGCTCCCGGAGAGAATAATGACTGTAGAATCTGGGAATATTGTCTGGTTTTGCAAGTAAATCCAACCCCAAAATTATACTATAATAAATAATAATTATAATTTAACCCCTCAATAATCCACTTCGTCAGGGGATGTTTAGGGTTTTAGTTTTTTAGAAAACTCAACCAAATCAGACATCATACAAGCATAAAAGTCGTTTTCCATAAAGAAGTCATTCTGGGGGCGAATCTTTGGCTCATCAAGAAGGTGAATCACGCAACACAATCGTGGCCATTTTGTCAAGTCCCCAGCAGCACCCACCTCCTCCATAAAAAACCGCCAAAACTGACTGACCCCTCTTCCTCACACCTCAATCGTGGCCCATCATCTCAACCTCCCATCTTTCTATAAAATCCCAAGGATCCCCACATCTTCTTTCTCCACACCCCTCTCTCTTTAATCCTCTCATGGCTTCCAAGGTCTCAAACAAGCCTATGTTTACATCAACGTCCATAGCTGATGCAGCTACGTGGTATTGTGCCCTAGTCCTTCTTGCCCTAATACTGTTTACTTCTTTAAGAGAAGCATCTCCCACATACGATGATGATCATCACCATGATATTGTTGCTGTCAAGGGCAATCATGTATTGGACCGACCGTGCGATGAAATTTATATTGTAAAGGAAGGAGAAACCCTTCACACCATCAGTGATAAGTGTGGTGACCCTTTTATCGTGGAGGAGAATCCTCATATTCATGATCCCGATGATGTTTTCCCTGGTCTAGTTATCAAAATTACTCCTTCAAGGTCTAGGAAATTATTGCTCTAGTTTTTGTTGATCATCCTTTTACACTAATTAATATTTAGTCTTCTTAGCTTCTTTCTTAATCTTAACTTCTGTTAATCTTCTCAGTTATCGGAACCGGATATATACATCTATATATTGTCACGTGAAAAATAGCCATCATTTAATTTTGATTTCAGATTTTTTTTTTTTTTTTGCTGAGGCTTCATGCGTAAATGTTTGGAGGTTTACGTACACGTCAATCAAGAAGAGCCCCCCCAATTAAGTTTATTGAACCAAGAAGAGATTTGAGAGTTTTTATCATTTAATTGAATTGCCAAGCTCAACATAGGGTTGTTATTGTTAGTTGCCATGGCGAGGAGTTAATCACGATTCTCAAAAATAAGAGGAGGGATTAGTCATCAATCGGATCAACGAACATTCTCTCTACTATAAAGTGGTTCGGCGTTAAAGAAAGGAAACTCCATGGCCATTTGTCCACCAACAATTGTAATTAGAAACAAAGAGTGTTGCAGAGACACGCAGCTTTTGTTTTTTGGCCTTTAAAATAAGTAGAGCTTGAACCCGCCAGGATTTTGCTTTCCAACTTGATCCGTTAAAGTTGATCTATATAGATCATGTAAATGGAAGACGTAAGATAACAACCAGTGGCTAGCTAGAGCTTAAATATCATTTAGGATCGTATCTATAGTGTTGAATATATATATATATATATATAGACCTAATTTTTTTAAAAAAAGAGAGGCTAAAATGAGGCCATTTGGTGCATTGACTGGCAATTTCAATGTGTTCTTTCAAATAATTGCCCATGGTAAGTAATTGGGTATGGACAAGAGACAATATGGATAACGTTAAAGATTAGAAGTACCCAGAAACGAAAGTGCTGTATGTTCTGAATTCAATATCGATCAGACGTTCGAGCACCCAAGCTTCCATAATCATCACTACCAAGAAAATAATAAAATATCACAAATTTAAAGGGTTTTAGTAATAATATATTATGTGGAACATTAATTTAAGGTGTGTTGGGGCGCTTTGCGTCTTCTTATAGAAACCCCACACGTTAAGATGAAACACCTTAATTGGTTCCTCATAGTCAAATTGGAAACTGGCATCACAAGTAAAGTGACACAAGGACATTGCACCAAGAATTAAAAGCAATATGAATGACACGAGCAAATTCCAAGCATTATTTTTTTGTTTTTGGTCACTAAGAATATCCATGAATGCTGCTTGGACTCGAGAGGTGGTGGGTGGGTGGGTGCTCTGTCACGTTCCTCCAGACGCATGAAAACTGACTGGAAATAAAAAATAAAAAAAGGTGGCAGTAAAACTGATCATCTCCAATGGGTTATCTTAATTTCTTTGACTGGGGTTATAAGTGGTCGTCTTTGTTTCTAATGATGCAAGTCCTGAAAAAACTGCAGGGTCAGAGGTGAAGACAATTAACTTTACGTGATGTCTTGTACAAAGTAAAATAAAATAAAATGAAGGTGAATGGTTATAGAAATAGAGATTGGGTTAATTTTTTAAAATAAAATAACATTAAAAAAAAGCAGGAAAAATATGGGATTCAAGTCATTAATTAGAATTAGTTCAATAATCTTGATTAATTAAATAATATAATAAAAAAATAAAAAAAATGAATTAATAGCCAATAAAATAAATAAACACTTGTCAATATTATAAAAATATACCCTCTAAATATTATTAAAATGTCTCAATTAATTTATTCAATAAAAAAAAAATTGAATAAAAATAAAATAACCTTCTAAGAAGAAAAATAAAAAAATAAAAAAAGAAACAGAATATAAGACAAGGAGAGAGAAAATAAATAAATTTTATTGGAGCTCAATCCTTGCCATGTCATGCACATAAGTCTAACCACCTAAAAGAAAGCGGTGCGATGCTTTCAATACTATCATGAAAAACAACGCTTGGTTATTGAAAAATACTACACACATCATTCAATAAGTATCGACACCTCTCATTCCCTAACACGTGGTGGATGTACGCGCTAACCATCTTTTGTTATATATATATAGTTAAAATACTAAATTTTCTTTTATTTACATTGATTATAATTAAAAAACATGATGAAATATGAAAACACACCTCAACACAAGTTTTTTTTTTCTTTTTAAGAGCAATGTAGTCCTTTAACTATGCTAGCAAGACATAAAAATCAGAACACCCCTCAACCTCAATTGTAAAAATTTTGCTATTAAGACTGTTAGTAATTTCAAAATGTTAAAAAATCTATTTGTCCCTAATCAATACAAGAATAACAAATGAACTATATAGAAAAGACTAACTAAATTACCCTTAACAGCTAGTTAAATGACTTTTTATAAGGGCAAAATAGTTATTATATTTTTTCATTCCACAATGCGATGAGTTTAGGGGCACAATGAAATGTCGATGGCTTTTTATTTTTTATTTTTACAAGAACAATCTTTTAAGGATATTATGGTTAATTTTTAAGAATATTTTATATATCTGTAAATTAAATGTTAATGAAAAGAAAATAATTAAATTATTAAAAATGATTGATGAGTAAAATTAAATTATTGTGATGTATATTTTGAATAATAAACAGAAATGAAGATATAAAATAATTTTTTTTAGAACAATTTTAATTATTTTAAAGTGAATTTTTGTACTTTTAAAACCCATATATATATTTATGTTTTCTGTAACTTATGTATCATTTGATTCTTGTCTTGAT